TGCGCGACTGCATTTAAAAAGGCAGCCATTCAAAGTTCAAGCATATGCAAGCGAGTTGAAGAAACATAAAAGCAATTGCAGAAAAGTTCGATTCAGAGCTTCGAGCGGCAAATAATAATCGCAACAAGTCATATGCTGTCGGCATACTTTGCAACCATTGTAGTGCGCAGACAATGCAAAAATTGTGCTCGTAGCAAAAATGTACGTTGAGTTTAAATATGTATGTATGTCATGTGTTAGTATGTACATATGTATATACATATGTAAACGTTAAGCTATGCGCATAATAAATGATCTTAATGGGCGTGAGTTGACTTCATTTTGCTACAAAATATGTTATGACTTTTAAACGCAGACAACAGCGATATATTATATGTATACATACATATTTACATATACATACATATGTACAAACATAGCTTTGAGAGTGATTTTTTTAAGTGCTTTCCCATTAATACATACAAACATACAAGCTACGAGTAGTTTACTGAGGTTCAGCTGGGTAAGTCACCAAGTCATTTAATTAGTCATTCATCGTGTATAATTGTAGGGCGGCTTGTGTGGCAAATTTTACCTAGTAGAACACTTACCAATCGGCGATTCGCTGCACACGCTGCTTCTTCGCCGACCACCGATAGTGCAACGGCTATTAGTTAGTGAGTGATTCAGTGTGATTATAGTAGCACTCGTATACATATTTACATACAGCAATACATACATACATACACCTTCATGCAGTAAGATAATCAGCAGCCGTGAAGCAGGTAACGAATTGATTGTAATTGAAGGAGTGAATGAGTTAAGAGACCGTGTGAAAACTATAAGATTGTTGGTACATACAGCCATATATACATATATACGTACTTATATATACTCATATATGGAATTGTAAGTATGTAACATATGTATGTGTAGTAAGTACGAAAAAAATGAAAGAAAAGTCGTAGAAGCAGCTACGCCCAAGGCCAACTGCATTTGTAGCCGGTGATGGAGCAAAATTACACAACAACAACAACCAGCAATAATAAGTATTGCTGCTGCCAACAATGAGAACAAGAAAAGCTCTAAATATGACAGCAATTGCCATGGCTTTAATAGCAACAATATCAATAAATACTCGCTTTAAGAAAATTGCGGCTTGCATACTATAAACACATATATATACACATATGGTAAGAGTGTGTACCCTGTAGGGAAATGTAAACTTTCTGAACTGTTGACTCGTCTTCCACTCATTGTGATGTTTTATTAAGTGCCATTGTCTTTTTCTATAGTTTTGATATACAATAGAGTCAGCTCTATAACTTTATATAGCCCTAAAACTGCAACGAAATTGTGTAGCGCAACAAAATTGCGTCACGCACTCTAAAATAATTGATATACTAATGGCATCACTAATTTTAATTTTTAATTATATTTCATGAAGATAAAAGAGTTAGAAGGTTGCCATATATACGAAATTTTCAATGAGAAAATAATTATTTATAAAACCGATAAAGATAATATTTATATCAAACATAATAGGTTTAAGAAAGTTTACAGTTGAAAAAAAATGCTTAAGGTTGCCAAATGTTTAAAATTTTTAATTTCATAAATTTTATTAGATAAACGAATTGTTAAATACAACTAAACAAATTTTCAAGAGGGCTTTCAGTTATAAAATATTTTTGAGCAGGGTTGCCAGCTATTTAAAATGAGATACTCATAATAATTAACTGCCTTCTAACATTAAAACATACTGAAAGCAACACCAATCTTAATAATTCTATAGCGATAAAAAAGTTAGAAGATTGCCACATATTTGAAATTGTTAAAGAAAAAAAATAAAATATATATAGAACCGCTACAATATAGATAGCAAACTCAATACTATGGGTTGAAAAAACTTTACAGTTACAAATAGTTTATGTAACTTTTGTAGTTGCCAACTGTTTAAAAAAATTTAATTTTACAAATTTTATTAGATAAAACGATTATTACAATATAAATAAAAACATTTTCGAGCGCTTGCAATTTAAAATCTTTTTGAGCAGGGTCGCTAGACAGAAAAACCAAGAAAGTATCAATTATCTCGGACAGTTCTATTCACAGAATTTATTTTCCTCATTAGCTCCTTTTCAAGAACTTTTAGCAACTATTTTAGATAATTTTAAGTAATTTTTTTTTCATTTTCATTCAAACCTTAATATTACAATAAACTGACACCAATTAGGCGAAGTTTTTTAATTTGCATCAGTTATTGTCTGGCAAGTTTTCGATTTTCTACAGGGTATGACAGGCGATCTCTTCAAATTTGCATATTTAAACAAAAAAATAGCAAAAATTACACATACAAACAGCTTTATGGTAGTTCTAGTTGAATGAAGCCAATGAAAAACCGTCAGATCGCCCAGCTCAATTTAAAGAGCTGTAGAGCACTTTTATTGATCTTGTATATACATACATATGTACATACAAGGCAATCATGAAAATATACATATACCAGACATTTCTTTGTAGAAAATATATCGGTAAATGCAAGAATATAGTCCCATTGTTATTTACATTCAGTGGTTCTTACATAAATATGTCTCAGGGTTTCCTTGAGATTCACAAAAAGCGCAGATTCAAGGATATAACTGAAGCACTATATAAATTACAATTAAGACAAGAAGGTTAAATAATTAAAAAAAAAACAAAATGCTATGAAAAGCGGCTAACTGAAGAGACATCAGCAGTTTTCAAGTTCATGGCTGAAATTCAATTATCTGAATCGTTCAAATACATAATTTGGCTATTATTAAGTACTATTTTCCGCAAAAGTAAGATTCCTAGACCATTGAGGTGTAATTATCAAGATTATTAAGCTACTGAAAATGTATTGACTAAATAATTACTGGCCGCATATTTAATACAACGGCCAATGCAATTAAAGCGGTAAAGCGTTAAAACAAACAGCAACACAAAAACAAAAAGCAATAACACATTAAATCAATACGGCGCTGAAATCCGGAAAATAAAAGATCAAGCATAAATTTATTAACTCACAATTATATAAAACTGTGTAGTCTATGAAAAAACAACTTCACTGGCAAATCAAAAGTTGGAAATAAGAAGAAATAAATAACAAAGCAGGCCAATTAATTTCCGCATCACGCTTGCCGGCTGGTCGAGCAGGCGCAGAACCTGAGAAAAACTGCTAGTTGTACTAATGAAAATAAATCTTAAAAAAATGGTTACTGGTTGAAGGCGTAAATTCTGCAAAGCATAGAAGACAAAACTCGAATTTTTGACATGCAACTTTTGGTTCAAAGAATGTTCAACCAATTTAAATTGGTCAATTATTTAGCGGTACTGGTACTTATCATTGAATTACTCGTATACCTATACTGATACCCATTTGTGCACTTATTGGCTTATGTGTGTCAATAACAGCCGGTCCACTGTTGCCAAGCTGGAGCAAGGCGCACCAGATCAGTAGCACAAGCCATGCGCCACGCAACGCTGCGCCTTTAGGCCGTTGCCTTTTATTATGATTATTTCTTTAGTGTTTTTTCATGAATATTCAGCTGCAAATAAAAACTCTAACACAAATGTAGCAAAAACTCGCAAGCAGAGATTAAAAATAACATAAAATCAAATAAAAGTATAATAAAAAGTGTTGCAACAATTTCAATTTGGCGAAAATTCGTAAACTGGTATTCGGCCAGGGAGAATTTAGGTGGTCAGTCTTGTAATAATATAGTTGTATGTTTAAGCACAATATATATAATATAATAATATTTGCATATGGTACTGGCAGATATTGCTTGTAGAAAACGTATTAACTTTTCTGGTAAAGGCATATTAGGTGAGGTAAGGTTACACTTTCTGGCTGTCAAGACATACACAGACCTACAGGTCTTTTATAATGCCAGTTGGGGATTCATTAATAATACGAGCTGAATTTTACTAGAGACTTGATATTTAATTCGTATACTTCAACCAGCCTTTAGAGCTATTATCCATGCTATGATGACGGGCTCTATCCCGGTTGCTTCCAGACTATTAACGATTGCGACAGTGGAGACATTATTAAATGCTCTGCTTATGTCAAAAAACTCTCTCTCTACTCTCTCAACATTTAAGGTTAACGAGTGAAGTGCAGTCTCAGTGGATTTACATTTCATATGAGCGTGTTGAGCTTTCGATAGGTTAGCCGTTAAAATCTTGTCCTTGATGTAGGCATCTAGAATCTTTTCGAGTGTCTTCAGAAGGAATGTCAACAGTAAAAAAAAGCTAAATGCAGGACTTTCTTCTGCCTAAACATACTCTCATTCATGACACCTATTGATAGGAAATCCAGGAAGCGATAAAAGACAATTAGTCTAAAATACTTGTAAGTGATTTTGTTGTGATGCGTATTATAAGATCAAGTTTGGATAGGTATAATTTAGCATAGATGCATAATTTTTGTCACCGTGTATTTTTAGAAGAGATGGTTAACATAAGTATTTCTCAACACTACATATTGTATTTTCCCTAATCTTGAAATTTACCATGAAATTATGTTGAAAGCGTTGAAATTGTAGTGATTCACACTTTTGAACTCTACTGAAAACGACAATCGATCGATCTCTTCCCGCAACACAACATGACTGACGGTTTGGAAGTACTTCGATAGGCCAAGTGCTACAAAGATTGTGCTCTCACCGGCTGGTTTTGATTAAGATATCTAATTATCTGTATTTTTATGATACTAAATCTTGTACATCGACCTCTTTGGGACTGCTGATTATTACTGCACTACTAATATGTTTAAAGCTTCTACAGTCGATAGCTATTGATTATATTATTTTATAGCGGTACTGTATTATGATCGTGTGTAAAATAAGCAGTTTAGTATTTTAAATTAACACACATTATTTTGGTATTGTTGTTTTAAAGATTATTACCAATGTATGTCAGAGCGGCGCTCAGCCTAAAAATGACACATGAGAAAGCAATAATAATTGTATCCAGTTGAAAACAATATAACAGAGTTCGTGGATACCAAATGGTAATGTCCGGTTATTATTCTAACTGTATTTCATTATACCAGTTTATAATACAATATTTATACGTGTCGTTTGTTCGATTCCTTCATATGTTGATTGTGCAGCTTGGTACTCTCGAAAGTTTGGCAAATTGAGTGCGGCCCCTATTTCCTGATTCCAATTCGTTATATTTATAACACTTGCTTGTTCGATTCGCTACTCTTCTTTGGAGGAAACGAAATAAGTCAACAACAAATTACTATATTATACTCGAACAATGTGTATAACACATTTATCAGACACCCGTAAGCCGGAATACTAAAAAGAGAGGTCAGAAATCAAATAATCGCTAATCACATAAAAAGAAATGTTACAATTACATAAAATCAACAATGTATATGCGTGTCCTAGACAGTGAATTTGCTCTGCGCAGACGCATCCGCGAAATTGATTTCCGCGAACAAATGTGATGCCAGATAATCACGAAAACGAAAAGTCAAGTAATATTTATTGAAAACATATCTATACATTTATACAAGTATTGAAATGAAAATGAAATCAATGCAATAAAAAGAAATGAGAAAAATGAAAACAACGCGCGGCCAACACAGACAAGTAAATGGAGCGATTTTCACATATTTTCCTTCTTTTAGCTTGGCATTTTCTTCAAGCGGCCAATATACTGTAAATTATGCAATGGCGAATTCCTTACCACAAAGCGAATTCAAAAGCGAGCTGTTGTGCTACTTATATGTATGTATGTATGTATATGCATGTTTGTATGTACGCATATATATATATATATATGTGTACTATTAATATGAACACAACTGTGTGTAATGTTGGAGCTATAGCCCACAATTCGATTGGATCGTAAACGGCTATTTACTCTTTCACTATTTGAATTTCGCATGATTTTGCAGTCCACTTGCATACTCCAACACTGTGCACACATGCACACACACGAGTACGTACAATCAACAGCAGCATGTTGCTCTAATTCATATAAAACTCATTGCCGTTCGATTTGTTGCGGTTCGTGCGGCGTTACATATTTCAAATATTTATTATTGTTTTTGTATTTTTTTTTTTGTATAAAACTTGTTTGATTTCTACAAGGCTTTTGTAAGAAATGGAGCTGACTAATGAAATACTGGATTTATAAAAATAATACTAACAACAACAAAAACAATAAAAAAAGAGCTACTAACACAGCTGCACGTAGCACCGTGGCTCGCAAAAAGCGCGACAAGCTCGGCCTGCCTGCCCCTTTTCCAGCTGCTGCGGCGCTTGTTTAGGCACATGGCTGCGCATTTGAGCAGAAATCGGAGTAAAATCGTTTGCAAATAATTCACATTAGTGACACATACAGTTATACTTGAGTACTACCTTCTTATATGTATATGTATGTGTGCATGAAACTAATCCTCAATATCTTTATTATAGCTTTTCGAATCCGTACTTTAGCGTATTACGTTATGTCGCAACTCGGCTGGCTAATTACTTAGCAACCAACCAGGTGGAATAAGTAGTTCCAGTTATGGAGCTTAGAAAAGTTCGAGACATGAACGGTGGACACTTGCCGCGCGCTGTTGTTATTGTTATTATTGTTATGGTGCTAAACTATTTTAGGAATTTTTATACAAACTAGAAAAAATGCTTGCATAAGTCAAGATTTTTATTAAATGTTTCATACTTTTAACCGGTCAACTGGTTTAGTTTTGCGGTTGGAAGGAGATTTTTTTAATCATGTGTAATAGATGTACATATGTATGTACAATACAAGTATGTATGTACATGTTGTTGTTTTTATTTTTGGCTCTCGAGTCGAATTTTGATTGCGGATATACATGTGTATTACATGTAATTACTGATTAATGAATGGAACGGGAAGAATAGAGGCAAATGCAGTTATTTAGCTGAACTTAAAATTTATATGTTAAAATAAAATATGTTTTAAACAAGAAAAAACGTCAACTTCGCTGACACCGTAGCTATAACACGCTACACAAATACAAAAGTTTCTTTACAAGAACTTGATATGAACCATTTCTTCGGAGATTGCACCATTGCCTTAGACCATAAACCATGCCTAATTTTTTGTAGATATCTCGTCAAAAGGAAAAGTTCTCCATATACGCACTTGATTCCGATCGTTCAGTTTGTATGACAGCTATAAGCTATAGTGGCCCGATAACGGCAATTTAAACAACTGAGCAGCTTCTTGTAGACAAAAACACGTGCGCAAAATTTCAGATCGATATCTTAAAAACTGAGGTGTTAGTTCCCGTATTTAAATTTTCTCCCAATCTCCAAAGCACTTTTGATAAAGTGGCGCATAGCATTCCTGTTGAGCATGCGGCCTTGTGGTAAACTTAAGAAACAGTAAGCAAATCCTTCAATTCATTCGGAGCTTTCGCGCCTTTTTTGGGTTCTCGCTCTTCTATACTCCTTCTTCGGCACAAATTGGCTCTGGTTTTAATTTTCTCTGGTTAAAAATCGCAAAAATTAACCAAACCGCTAAGAAAAAGTTGTCGAAAGCACCGAATTTAAGTTAAGCTTAATGTAATCTGAAGGAAAACCCTGCCTGAGACACCATCAAACGTATTACCATACAGTGGTTAAACCACAGAGGGTGCGGTGTAGAGCTGGTGAAATCTTCCAAATTCCACAGATAATACAACAAATTACTTACTAAGGTTATTTTCTAGAAATTACTGATAACATTTTCTCTTGACAAGATGATCAACTACATTGTTCAGCACAATTTTCAGATGTTAGTTAAAAGAGGTCTTAGCGTCGCTTTTCAACAGTTTTTGACCTCAATACTCTGGAAATATTCAAAAGTATTAACGATGTTTTTACTGTTGTGGCGGCGAAAAGTATTCCCGCAAATAATTTTTGAGGATTGTTGCGGAGTTGACCTTCTTCAGTCGGATAAAGACCTGGGTCCGATACCGGTAGCATAGATTAAAGTTGAGCAATGCACTGCGACCTGTAGTCTATTGTGCCTTCTCCTATTATCACATCACTACTGAGTCGTTTACTCTTACGTAGAGCTGAGTGTCGTGGGAACAACGATATAATTATGGGTCTCAATAGTTTAGTACTTAAAAATTAGGAGAAAGCAATAAGTTAACTGTCATCGAAGTCACTTAACGGCAGGCCCAGGAAAGGTGCTGAAATTGGTGGCGTCCGAAATTTGTTCGGTATATTCTTTAAGTTTGTCGACACGTAGGGTGCATATTCTCCTGATGTTCCTAGGAGGCGGCACCGTTTCAAGCAGATGTTTGGAGGGATGATTTCTTGTGAGAACACCCGAGCAGAAACTGCTAAATGTATTATGTTCCTTAACAGTGATCATGCGGGCCTCGATATGAAGACGTGCGATGGGAGACATCCTCTTTTTTGTATCTAATTGTATGCCCAGCACTGTATGTACAGTTTGAACATTTCAGACAATTTCCTTCAAACGGAAAAATGCCACCAGCAAGCTTATACCGGGTAGCACAGCAAATTGCTATTCATATGAGTAGGTAACCGTTAACTATTAACGAGCTTATGTTGGATACAACTTAATGCACGTTTTCCCCTATGTGAATATTTATTCATACGTGCATAAGTGTATATATGTACATATACATACATATGTATATAGAAAATTCTTGTCGCTAATCTAGCGGCATTGCAAACTGCAAATACACCTACACCCAAACCAATAACACAACAAAAATGTGCAACAACAACACGCTTAAATGCACTCTCGCCTACATTTTAAGTAAGTTACAAATTTAATGAGTTATTTGACCGCTTTACGTGCGCGCTCATAACTCCACTGCCATTCAACCGATATACATACATATGCAAGCTTTGAAGCAGAGCAGGTGACTTAGCTTCACTTATACGGTGCAAAGTCAACAGTTAAACGCAACTAATTAAAGAAGTTCGACATTTGGCAAATTTGTCAAGCCACAAAGGCACTTGCCACATGAATGCATCACAACAAGTCTAATGTGGCGTTATTAGAGTGTAACGGCAATAAAATATTATAGGCAATATATGAAATTATATACATAAAGATATATAGTGGTTGTTATTACCACACTAACACACATTAAAGTATATATATATGTACATACATACATGCATTTACTAAGCAAACTTTGCGCAATTATTTTTAGAGTGGCGCTTGCGTGTTGCCGCCAATTTGCGCGTTAACACCTGCGAAGCGCTACTAAATCATGTAAATATGTGAAAGGTGCGAACGTTTTTTTTTTTTTGTAAATGGAACTTTCCACTTTTTTAAGTTTAATACCAATTCATTCATTAACTGCATTCATTTATTTTCAATAAAATACTACTAGTTTCATTTCCCATTTCACTCTCTAGCTCGCCAGCTGTTTGGCCATAACCTCGCTGCTGCTAGTCGTTCAAGCACAGGGACCATTTCCGCCAAGATTGAGCATACCAGGCGCTGTGCCCGTGGTTGGGCCTGCAGTTGCACCGCGCCCACAATTTCGCAATGATAAGCCGGTACGCGTACGTCGTCCAATCGCTTTGCGTGCACAAAACTCCTACATACCGTCGGTAGCGCCGCGCATACAAGAGGAATCCAAACCTGTAACCGAATCGGCTGAAGATGAACAACCAGATGTCTTCTTGCCACAACTGTTGCGCGAACAGCAATTGGTGCAGGCGCAGCAGGCACAATTTCAACAGCAAGCGAATGCTTTCCTCAACGGTGAGGTGAATACCATACATGATACGCCCTCATTGCCACAATTGTTGCAAGATGATGAGCATATATTGGCGCCATCACCACAACCTGCTTTGCCATCAACGCGCTTTACTGAGCGACCAACACCCACTGCACCTCTAGCAGCAACAACGTCCAACAATCGGCCCGCTTTCAATGATTACGGTATTGGTAGCTTTGGTGCGCAACGTTTTGGTTTGGAGCGGCCACAACAGAGTGCACCTGCACCGGCTCCTTTGCCACAACAGGCACCACAGCGTGTCAATGTTATACGCACACGTCCACAAGTGCGTGAATCACGTCCACAATATGAGGCGCAATCAGCACCACAACCAGCTCCGGCACCTGTGCGCTCTCGTCCACGTCCAGCACCAGCCCGTCCGGCGATTGAATATAATCAAGTGCAACAAGAGGAACGTGAGCAGCCACAACAGCGTCGCCAACGTCCCGTCGCGCAAACAATACGCAAATGGCGTGAGGAGAACGAGGACGGCAGCATTACTTGGGGTTATGAGAATGATGATGGCTCATTCAAGGAGGAAATCATAGGCACAGACTGCGTCACAAAGTTAGCTTTTTTCGCATTCTTTTTTAAAACTAAAACTACATTAATATTTTTATTTTTGCTTGTAGGGGCACATACGGCTACATTGATCCCGATGGTAACAAACGTGAATACCACTATGAGACCGGCATCAAATGTGATCCCAACACACGTGAAACAGAGGAAGAGCTACAACAAAATGCTTTCATTAATTACGAACAGAATACAGCTGTATTGCCAAATGGCATTGAGATCGACATGACACAGATCGGCAAGAAGAAATCCAGACGGCCGAATTCCATCTATAGAAATTAGCATTTTAAAACATACAATATACATACATATAAAATGATAATATTTAAGCTATCAAAAATATATCAATATTTACAACTTTAATTATAAATTAAAATTTGTAATTGAGTTTTTTATTATTTTCTTTTTTCCCCAAACGACTTTATGCCTTCGTTCGACAGTAAATTTTCAAATGGTACGCATTTTTCGTATAAAATCTTTAAAAGGCAAATTAATCGAAATTAAAATAACACTAATGAAAGGTACCTTAAAAGTAATATATTGTAGCAAAGTAGTAATGCTTGCAGCATATTTTATCTGCTAACTAGTACGGCCTTTGACGGCGTATGGGCGGCAAACGGTTAGGTGGTGTGATGGAAATGTCTAAAAAGTCACCAATGCAGAACTTAGCTTGTGCCAATGTTTTGGTATCATCTGCGCCCTTTTGACCAGTACAAGTTACACCGATTTCACGCATCTGGTAATGATTATTCCGGAAATTGGGAAAGACAATTGCGAAGTCGAAGTAAGTGCCTTTTTTACGCGTATCAGGATTGACATCACGTACGAGCGATGTGAGTTCATGTAGTGTGGCGTCTTGCCAGGTATATATCTGTAGTTCATTGCTCGGCACATTACCATACATGTATTCCGATACGGAGTGATGGCGACCAGTTGAGCAAAAAACACGTAACAACAGCGGACATGTCTGTAAAAATTAAAAATTAGAATATTTTGTAACTATAAATAGAGGTAAACAATTTGGTTAGGCAAAAACTGGGCGCCGACTGCAAACCTTTTCACGATCTATAGGTTTTATGTGAGACTTCTCTTCAACAATCATTGATTCCACGTTAGCCATTGCAGTTTCTCCGGTTTTGTTTACTTAATAAATATTTTTAATTTATTATTCACTCAAAATACGGCTTTAATTATGCACACTGAATAAATATTCCAAACACTGAAAATGCAGCAAACACGGTAGGCAGAATAAAAGTTGACAGCCAAAACACTGAAACCAACTTCACTTTGTATGCAGTGTTGCATTCGGAAATAATAAATGTTGAATGCTTTGTTGCGCATATATATACATTTATTTGTTTAAATTAGAAAATGTATATTAAATTTGTGTTTGTATTGTGAAGTTCCATAAATCCTAATAATAAGTAATATTTTTAAACTTTTTTATCACATTTTAATTGTAGCTTTGGGATTGCATATTAACTTCTTACTATTAAATTAATAATATAAATATTTAATTTAATCCCAAACATCTTGATTTAACAACTTAAAGTTAAATTCTTACTCTCAAAATTAAGATTAAAAGTTCAAAATTCCTATGTTGGGATTAAAAGTTAGATATCTAATTTTGAATGAAAGAATTTACAACTCTGATTTAAATGGTATATCTTCAAATTTAATTTAACTGTTTGAGCAAAGCAAAATTACACAAAACTCATTATTTGAGATTAAGAGACAGTTAGAAATAAATTCAATTGATTTATTTGCCTTATCAAGATTTCAAAGAACATATTGTACAAAACCCTAGAGCTATATGTGAATGTCGGTTAAGAGTATCTGGTGTTTACAGTTTATTTTTGACTGTCCGTTTAGTGATGACTTTCATCCCCGACTTTCTTCCCTTGCACTTTCGGCGCATAGTTGGCAACGCAGCTGACAGTTGTTTGGAATTTTCAGCATTCTGCAAACACAAATTGTTCGAACGTCGGTGTCAATCACACAGCTTTGCGGATTCTTAAGTGAATTGTAGAATTCTCATAATAATTTCAACACTATAAGCAGATTATTGTAAACCCAAGTGTTATACTTATGTGTAAAAAGTGCAAAAGCTTAAGTTGGGAAAGTTGCGATTGTAATTTTTCGTAGTTAAAAATACCAAAGCATATAAAAAGTGAGAAGTGTGTCGGAAAGAGCACGAATATCATACGATTAAATAGGAAATTCCCCAAAATTTCTAAATATACAATATCTTCATTTGCATTCTAATTGGAGCTAACATATATGTATATCAATTGTTTTCAACTGTTTAATTTAGTGCTGTTTTCTGCAAAGTTCCACAAGAAAAATTTTCGCCTGCTCCAGCTGATTTTTGGGTGAGTTTCCGCGTACACACACATACAAATTGCTGTCAGTTTAAAAACTTTTACATCACCGCAAATCAATATAAACTGAATAATTAAAATTTAGTAGTACACCACGAAATATTACATATTATGCAATTTTTTGTCAGCAACGTAATGAATGATGTTGAGATAGCCATTCGAATATCTGTTTAGAAATGTGTATAAATAGAAAGTAAATTAGAATACCGAATGTGGTCTAATTACATTCGTTATAGCTGATTCATTCTGATTAGACTTTATAGTTTACCTCAGCGTTTTATAAAATTATTTAAAGAAATATGTACTTGCGTTTTGAATATTTTTCCAAGTCGTTGGTCTTTTTCTAATCAATCATTCTGCCGATAAAATTTTGTGAAAATGCAAATATTTATTTTTATGAAGAATATAGCTTCCACAGTGCCCATTTGAGATCTTCGTTAAATGCTCGGTATTTTTAAAAAATAAAATAGTATAGTAATAGATTATAGAACTTTTTTATTTTTTTTGTTATCAAAGCAAAATAATTTAATATATTATATATAAAATAATAATTTCATTCAATTATTTATTAACTGAAGTCAATCAGTCTTACAATTTGGACAGTTTCTACCAATTTGTTTATAAAAAAAAAAAACGAGAAAAAACAACCTCGGCTGCATCGAATCTACAATACCCTTGATAAGCACAGCTTTTATAACATAAAAGAGTTTATAAAGATCTTTATTCTGATTTTGGTTCCGAACATATATGATATATTAATCAATACATATGTATGCATACGTACACAAACATATATATAGGACAGCGGAAACTGCAATGTTTATGTTAGTGTTGTTGTACGTACGAGTATGTATATAATTGGAAAACATTCTTAACAAAGATATCATTAATTGGGCGCATGGCCAACTGTGGATTACAATGCCGAAAAAGCATTTCGCAAATAATTGGCAGTGAAATCGTTTAAGTGATTACTTAGTTATTCGTAAAAAGAATGTTGCTAAATTCATTAAATAAATATAATCAGAAAATTGCATTTACATACAAATACAAGCAGTAATTTGTTGGAATAACGAATGCGTAAACTTTTATTAAAGCGAAAAATTATCAAAACCTTAGCAACCACGAGTGTATACAACAAAAACAACATATAAACACATGGATAATTGTTTGCTTCACAATTCACAAATAAGATTTGCCACTATTTATAATGAATTTATTCACACAGGGAGAAGAAAATTATAGCAAAACAGATTGACAGGGATAGCTTATGAGTGCCTACTGCCAAGCATCAAGATTCCTCTCTTTAAGGTTCATTTAAATTATACTAGTAATTAGTGAATATGTGTTATTTGCATATACTTCATATATATATTTTTTTTTACTTATTGAAAGCAGACTTCCACTATCAGAGACTTATTTGGTTTGTTTTAATAACCTCAAACTCAGAAAAAAGTCAGAATTTATGAATGTATATTCAAAATTTGTTGCTGCATAATATCATTGTAAATTTACAAAAAATTATATTACAAGCTTTATGTAGCTGATATTGATAGTCTGTCTAAAAGTTAAGAATCTTACAACCAGCCCACACATTTGCATCGATGAGAACTTGCAAAAGCAAAATCACAACATTTTAAAAGCCATATATACATAAATAGATATGTGTGTGCAGTCGTTTCATTTTGATTCCACGCTACGTTTGTGATATTGACATCAAAGGTCATAAATTTTCAGCGTTGGAACGGAAAATACTTTCGTCGAAGACGTAAAACAGAAATACCAAACACTTATTAGAATGAAATGAAAAATAACTCGTACAATTGCTGTGATTGGAATGCCTAGAGTGTGCGTTGTATTTGTTGTTTTAGCTAATATTACTACTAGTGCTGTTGATTTCCATTGCTGTTGCTGACGTATTCACAAAGCAATTCACAATTTTTCATTTTAGTGCCGTAATAACAACAAAAATAGAGAAGCAGAATATATTCCTAATAGCAATCAGAAGCAAAAACAACAAAGAAACGCCGTCTGTGGCAGATGGATTAAGAACTAGTATTAAAGTATGTATTCATAGAATAATTTAATTGAAATATTTCTAAGCTCTCATATCATAGCATGTTGTTGTTAATGTAACGATTATCCAGACTCTGCTTAGGAGAAAGCAATAAGTTAACTGGCATCGACGTCACTAAACGGCAGGCCCAGGAAATTTTCTGTTTCGAAGGGTTCGAATCAAAGGGATTGGAGGGAAGAAACGAGAAAGTTATAGGAGATAGGCGTTCACTTTTGAACACATGCCACCAGTTCCAATGCCCGACTTCATTATCGTACAACCATTTACTTATGAGGTAATAGAAACTTCTTCTGACGGTTGTGTGTGTGCTTCGAAATGTCGTGAGTAAACAGTAGCGAGGTGACGACACCATACTGCGAACTCTCATATCTGACTGAAGATTTGACTTAACTAAGGTATGAATTTGTTAAGTCATATTTTAGCCTAGAATGGAACTATTTGAACAAAAACAACAAACATATTATGTTATTAATTTCGTATGTTCGTAGTGTTCAATATATAGTCTGGACTTGACAAGTTTTTTAAAAAGCTTTTTTAAATTTTAAACTGCACTGAACGTTTAATTTAGTGTTCCAAAGAATAAATAGCACAGAACAAAAATAACGGTTGAATAATTTATGTTAAAATAATAAAATCATAATTTTTTCAGAACTTCTCTAGCTTTTAGCTGTTCTTGGTCTTTTGATTACTTTCCTATGTATTGTTGACAAAATCGATAAAAATCCGAGTACGTTCAGGCTGAGTCCTAAAAAATCTTTCAGGTTTCTTGTCTTGTATTAGTGTCCTTCCATTATAATGCTGCTGCATCGAGTCCCAACTTCGGCCGGGAATTGTCTACCTAAAGGGAGGCTTCACACATCAGTGGCTCTTTTCTCTGCATCAACCAAATACAGCTTCCGCGCGATGTTACATTCTCACTTTCCTGCGAATTTCTCATCATTTCACTTTTCTGAAACGAGCTTAGCAGGCAGCAAAGGAAACGAAATAAGTTTCACTTTCACCTCATTATGGTAATCCGATTTTCGCCAACACCCCACAGTATTTCCGCACTAAGTCCCAATAAGCAGACGTCTTGTACACCGCAGAATGATTGCGTCACAAGTTTGCAAAAAGTATTTCCACCTTTTATAGGCTTCATGCACGGCTAACGGCTGCGCTAGCATACTTACAGGCGTTTGGAGGCGAAATTTAAGTAGCAAAGTTGTTAGTAAATGAGTACGCACACGTACGTACAAATATACAAATATATGTAAAAAAAAAGAAAAGCAAAAGCCGATAAAGTATTTTGTGAAAACAAAAAAAAAAAAAACAAGAATAACTGTAGAAAGCAGAGTGTCAAATTGATAAAACTTGTTTGCTATTCTCTTCTTCTTCTACTTCTTGCTTTGTTAACATTTTAAAATTTCTGTGAAATACTTTCGGGCCAGCAAATTATCTGCCGTTGACGCCTGTCGGTGGCATGTGGTAAACAAATGAGTGGCAATGTGCGTGTTGTTGTTGTGGACATTGTTGTTAACTGCCATCTGCTCGAGAATTTTATTATTTCGAAGTAACTTTTGCATGCAGACACACACACACACAAACACTCAACCAACATACTTGCTAAGCCATTCTAGGCAGCATACAGGGTGTTTGTTTGTGAAGAAATTGTCAGTGGGACTGTCAGTCAGTAACAACGACAGCCAGCTGCAAGTGACACCATCAGCAGCAGCAACAGCAACTTGTATTCACTTCTTTCTGAAAAATTTAAGGTTCACAGTTACAATTGAGTTTTGCTACAAAAACGTGTGTGCTTGTATATGTTTTTGTGTATATGTATGTGTGTGTGCGCTTAACACCTACATACATATACATATATCGCGCCAGGATGATTTGGCGAAAGTTAGTTAGATATTCATACACACACACGCACAAACACATCTAAAATTTTCACACATACCATCCGATCAAATTTGAACCGGACTGACTACATTTTCAAGTATTGTACTATAAGCTCCTACGCCAATACAAGCATAGCAACGCTTAATACAATTTTCTATACACTTAAAATAAGCCAAGGTTGGGAAGGCCTTTGGTACTTTCAACATCACACGAAAAAATAAAGGATGTGACAAATTAGGAAAAATTAAATTTGAATCGATGTTTAAATGCACCAAATTGGTGAGGGTTTAAAGGGCTGCTCTCATCAGTGTCAGCAGTAGCCGCAAGGTAAATGGTCGCGAAGGCAGCCCTCAGACTCCAAAAATCTGAGTACTGAGATGACTACGAGCCTAAGCACTCTGAAATCCTTGCACACATTTATTTCATTCTTAAATATTACGGATGGATCAAAGCTTGCGAGGAGTCCTAGTTTTAGGCTTTCTGAACACTGCAGCATCTTCTAAGGATAAAGGTAGCAGTAGATCTACTGCTCCGGAGCGCAGCCTCTTTTGCGGAGTGGAAATGAGTAGAAGCTTCGTTGGTATCTGGTTTTGGGCCTCAGACCAGCTCAGCAAGCGTTGGTCACCTACCAGCAACTGTGCAGTCGCAAGGTCCGTCTGGCCCAGAGTAAATCGGAAGAGGTTTAGTGATCTCTTCGCTCTCAACAAGTTCCACCTTACAATGGTTATAGAAGTTCTAACTAGACACTGTCTGATCGGGATTCATGCGGTAATATTAAACATTTTACCGTATGTCAGCTGCATCAGCTTTTTCATCTCAACAACACCTCATCGAATGTCCCGCTTTTGCTCGATCAAGACAAAAGCACCTCGGATCTCATACTTTTCATATCCAGATGAAATAGCGAAATCCGCCATGCTGAGGGATCAGCCATCTAACGTAAACTAACCCAACCTAAATGGACCAGTTCGGGTAAACTTCTTTCAGTTGGCATGTGTAATTATTTCTTACATAAATACCAAAACACATATTACATACCATCCACACATGCATACATATTTGCACTTCATTCTCGTGTCACCGTGTTCGTACTATTTGCAAGTTGCAAAGTGTGTACGTGCTTTTGAAACGTGTTAACTGCTTGTGCAAACTCAAATAAATGAAATTAAATTTGAAATTAATTTCTCCTGCAATTTTCAAATGTAAATACGAAATTGCTAAAGTGCTGGCACTTTCATGCACCGCATTTGTTGTTGTTGCTGACAATGGTTTTCCTTTTTTGTCGTTTTGTTGTGAACTCTACAGTTTTTGGCGCTGTCACTTAACTTTTTGATCGATTGCTGTTGGCAGTTGCATTTGTGGCAGTGTCACGTGGTTGTGAAGGCGCACAAATACGACAAACGTTATTTCCATATATTTTGGGTAATTGATACTTTTTGGAGAAATTTTGTGCCGGTGAGTAGAAATTTGGAAGCAAAAAGAAGTCGCACTGGGGCAAATCTGCAGAATTCGATGGACCTGCTGCCCCAGTCGTTGCCTAATTCGGTCTAATAATTAGTGAATATAGAGCCATTTTACCGTTTTATAATTGTCCTGGTAGTCGATGTAGATCGGACCTGATTTCACTAAACGATTTCACTTCCAAAAAAAACCAAGATTCCAATCACTGACCTATGTATATTGCTCTTTTTCCACTATTTTCTAAAATCTGCGGCCACGCCCACTTACACACGTGGTTAAAACAAAACTATGACACCGTATAGCTGAAATTTTGACAATAGTCGCATACACAATATTAAATTTCTCTCGCAATAGTAGCGTCATCGCGCGGTGCGGCTAAATATTTCTTGTATCCCGCTCTTATCTTTAGACTGAATTCATCTTAAGTGAACATAACGGGCAGTAATCAAGAAATTGTCAATATATTGTAAGTAAAGATGTGACAGCGGTATCACTAAGTTTCGAGTAAACCAACTTTTCTTCAATGGATGTGTCTTTGGAAGTAAAGCTGCGAAACTATCAATAGTGAGTCCACTCAATAGTTTCGCTAGTTTAAAAAAATACAATCGATAGTGTTTTCCAATGTGAAATCTACTTATTTTTGCCGGTTTAAATTAAGAGACCTTGGTTTTGTACATTTCATTTGTATTAAATTAACTTTGAATTTATTTATAAAAGAAAACATGAAAAATAACTGAAAAATAAGAAAACTAATTAGTTACATATACAATATTTCATGTTACTAACATATATAAACTGCTCTGAAAGCTGATGAGTTATAAAAAGGTAAATTTTTTTTATATATTTACTCAATTTAATATGAAAGGCAGGAAATTTATATTTATAATACGTTTCGGCCACTTGTTTAATTCTTATTAAAATAAAATAATTAATTTTTATTAAAAACATAAAAACCGTGACGTTAAAATTTCTGATTCTGTATGAATAAGTGGGGTTATGTGCAGCCAGCAGTTCAGAACATTAGAAATTCTTACCTAATTCTAAATATTTCAGGTGTAAAAAGTGGTTAAATTTAATAAAATGGTTGTAAGTGCTACCATTTCTTTACTATTGGTATTACCAGACTATATTAATATGTAGCTAGTTAAGGCATAAACAATCGATAGTCAAAATAAACTTTCGATAGTGAGATGAAAATAAAATTATCGATAGTCCGCTAGATCAATTGTTTTTCAGCTCTATTTAGCAGCCTTGCCATATAGAGAAAAAAGAAATTTAGAGAGGATGATTTATGAGCTTCACATTCTTTTAAGGTTCTCTGTCAGTCTGGAAGTGGAACTAATTCAAAATTAGGAGAAAGCTTTTGAGTTCAGTGCGTATCAGATCTCAGTAAAGAAAAAGGAAATTCTGAAGAAACTTGGAAGTTGCAAATTTTCGCTAAAATTTTAAATTATAGTCCGGTTTGTAATGAAGAGAACTGAAGACACATAAACTTAGAATATCTAGAAAAAAAGGTCGTTATGAATACTTTTACAAGCAACTCAGAAAGCGTTAGCGAGAAATAAGTTTCATTAAGCATTTTTAGTTGGAAATTTGTTCTAGATCTGAGAGCAATATCTGTGGTTCCCTTTGTTGAAGTACACATAAATTTACTTATATATGTATACGCAACACTTTTATGCAAAATATGAAACTATTGCGATTCATTCATCATTCACTTTGTAGACAGCAGCGAAAGCAAATTGCAATTTTTGCGAAATAAATAAATTTTATTAGCATATTTTTTGCTCGCGCGTTTCAGCTGGCCTGAGAAAGATTGTTTACCTAATCGAATGTATTCACTTGGAAAATTACATGTAAATCAATTTATTTTTCAATTGACGTTTGATAAGTATTTTAATATTGTGGAAAAAGCTTTGTGCCGTCACACTTTAAGCTATAATTTATGTGAAATGTTCAAAGTAACTGTCGAATGCCACTTTTATGCAATTATTGTTTCGGTATAGTGAAAAACATAAATGATTTTTCAGTGATGCAATAAAGAATTCAAAAT